ACATCAAAAAAGTAAATACTACCTACAGATTGAGAACAAATATTTGCAAATCATATGTTAGATAAGAAACTTGTATCTAGAATATATAGAGAACACTTACACCTCAATAATAAAAAGACCTAACTCAATAGTTTATTTTTGCTACTTTATGTATATAGTCCTCCACAATTTACCATTTCTTCTGTCTTTGCTATTGCAAAGAATGCAGTGAGAAATGTTCTCTGGAATGTATAGGCAGTGAGAATATATATATATATATATTATATTATTTACATAGCACATGCTCATGGTTACTTTTTAAGAAAAGACAAAGAGTTATTTAAAGGTTGTACCCATTAGTTTTCCCATAGCATTGGATGAGTATTTGAGTTGTTTTATGTCTGTGCCAAAGCTTGGTATTGTTCAATCTCCAAATTTTTGCTTATTCAATGAGTGTGAACTAGTATTTCATTGCTTTAATTTGATTTCCCTGACTACTAATGAGGTGAACATCTAATCATATTTCCTTTAAAGTAAACTATCTGTTCTGGATACTAACTTTTTTGGTTATATGAGTTGCAACTTTTTTTTCCTAGAGGCTTGTTCTTTTACTTTTTTTTTTTTTTGGATGGTGTATTTTGATTTACAGACTTTCTTAATAATAATGAAGTCAAGTTTATCAAATTTTCCTTCAGTGTTTGTGTTTTTTGTGTCTTATTTAAGAAATCCTTCTTACTTGAAGTTCATATTTTCTTCTCATAATTTTATAATTTTGTTTTTTACATTTAATTCTTTAATCCAATGGGATTGTTTGTGTAGTGTGTGAGTTCGGGGTATAATTTCATTTTTTTCCTATATATATATTTAGCAATTGGCAGGATTTCATTTATTGAGCAATATGTCCTTTTCCCACTCATCTGCAATGACTACCATGCCAGAAATCAGCTTTCTACATATTTGGCCCTCTATTGATCAATTGGTTGTCTGTTCCAGTACTAATACCACATTATTTCATAAGTCTAGCTACAAAATATGTCTTCATATCCACTAAGCCAAGGTCCTCTATCTTGTTCGTTTAAAGGAAACCTCCCTTATTTTGGCTATTCCATATACACTTTAGAATTAGTTTATCAAGTTTCAAGATAAGCTCTTTTGGAAATTTGATTAAAGTTGCACTGGAATCGGGTACAATCATGTTGAGGAACATTACAACTTGAATCAATTGAAAAGAGACTTTAGCAAAAAGGAACAACTCTGTCGGGATCCTGAAAGAGTCTTAGGAAGAGTCCCACATATCCTGGGGAATTTTTGCTCATTTCTTGTAGCTGCACTTACTCTGTTCCAGGAAAGGGGAGAGGAGGGAGAATGAACCAAAGTATTAAAAAATATGATAAAGGGTGGGTCTGCAGTGATTTTATTATCCACTATTTTCTGGGGACTTACTGAAGTGGAATTCAAAGTAGGGATTGGGGGGCAAGGCGAGGAGAAGCATGAAGGGAGTATAAACTGCTGGAAGAAAAGACCTGAAATTACTGTTCCTTATGCTTGTTGGATTCTGAAGTTTGAGGAGAAGAATCCTGAAAGCAGAGAGAAGGCAGCATTTGAGCTGCGGGAGACAGCGAGGAGCTCCACAGTGGGCGTGGAGGGGGTAAAGCTGTGGCGGGTGGTCTGCGGATATTCTAGGCAAATGGAACCATCTACAGGAAACGAGACAGGAGTGATGGGTTTATAGGAGAAGTTCATTTGGAGCAAGAGATGTAGCTGGAACTAATGAGCCGTGGCATGATCGTACAAGGCCATGAATATCAGGCAGAGGACTTTGGACTTCAACCTGGGACGACAGGGAAGGTTCTTGGGAAAAAAGAGGAGCTGAATCTAAAGTTTGCTTCAGGAAGATAACTGCGGCTGCCCCGTCTTTGGGAACCCCGTAACTGCGACGAGTTCCGCGGGGAAAAGCCGAGGGCTGCACCCTGACCTGCAGGGGGCGCCCGGTTGTACCGTACGCTCGCCCCGCCCCTCCCTTCCCCTCGCTGCCCGCAGCTGAAGCGGTGCGCTCGGAGCTCGGCTGTCTCCCCTGGACGCGCCCTGGGGCCTCCACAGCTCCGTCTGGACGCGCCTCTGTGCGTCACTTCCGCTCTAGTCCAGGCCAGAGCCGAGGCGGGGCACGCTCGGAACTTCTGCGCATGCGCCCCTCGGTTACGCTCAGCCGTTAAAGCGGAAAGGCCCGGTGGGCTTGTGTGTCTCCTCTAACACGTTTCTGAGCCCCCTACGGTTATCATTTCTCCTTGCACGCACAGGTATTTTGATTTAGCCCAAGAGATACAGGCAAACGGCCCGGAGGAGCTCGATTGTTCCCTGAGCTTAGTGGCGCCGAGCCTAGCACCACCTCCCTCGAGGTCTCAGTTAAGACCCGAGTCTTGCAATTTCCCTCCAACTGCTTGCATCAGTCTGTGGTCAAAATACCCATTTGGAAGGCCTGCTAAGCGTCCCCAGCCCGGGCTGCAATTGATATTTCCAGGGCTTGTTTACTTCTGGTCAAAGCAGGCTCGATTTGAAGGGGACCGTGGAGGTCACCAAGTCTAAACTCTTAACCCTGAGGTCCCCATGTAAGCAATTTCACGATTTTTATTTACACACTTCTGAAGATCATCAGTTTGGGGACAACTCTGGATTCTGTAGCTTTTTGGACATTTCCTTCATTCAACTTTCATTCCTTTAAAAAAATATTTGAGCATCTACTGCGTACCAGATCCTGTAGGTTCCCCAAGATACAATGATGAACTACAGTGGACGCATAAGAATGTTGACTGTGTGGAGTTTACATGTGTAACAAAATTAATTGGAGGCCATGAGTTGTGGTAGTAAGAAACAAGCCAAGGGGTATAATAGAAACTTACAGGTGAGAATCAGAGTGATTAAAGAATGCCTGTTGGAGGTGGTAACATTTCTAGCTAGCCAAATGACTAGTTAGGACCAGAGTGAGTTCCAGTCTGCAGGAAAGAGGTTAGTGTTTTCCAGGCATCGGCTGAAGATCCGTGTGACTGGATCGGGGTGAACCAAGGCTGAGGATGGTGAGAAAAGACTGAGAATGCAAACAGGGGCCAGAATGCAGGCTTTGTAAATCATAGCAAGAAGTTTGAAAAGTATTCCAAGAGAAATGGAAAGCTAAGGAAGAGTTTGGGGCAGAGGCTTGATCTCAGTTGAATCGTTTAGAAACACACAAACCAGCTAATGTATCATAGTTTTTACATACCACAATCCTTTAGATATTTGAAATTGGCTGACATGTTTTTGTGAGAACTCTTGCCCCCAATTTCTGAGCAATGGTTCCTAAACTCTGGTTCTTTCTCGGAGGATTTATGGTTTTCGGAATATCATTCTGAACACTTTAAACTGTGAAGAATATAAAGATGTAAACCATGTATCGAAGATGAGATTCTCAAAGAGAGGCACTATTTAAACATTTCTTATCTATGTGATCCTGGTTATTGTTCTGGAGAATAGCAGGGTGCAATGTCAACTTAAACCCAGGTTACTTCTCTAAGCTGTCTTCTTATCTGTGAAATGAAAACAATAGGATTGCTATGAAGATTAAATAAGATTACGGTCAGAAAGTGCTTAATGGTAAACCATGAGGCGCCAGCCACACCAAGCCACTTTCATAAAAAAACAACTATATCGTTGGGAAGGAGGGACAATTTATAGCTAGTGCTCTGTTAGCATTCTAGATACGTTCACTAAGTTGCCTAGTCTGTGTCGGGCCCCCGGTGAAAAAAATGTGCCTTCTAGTTTATTACCTAGTTGAAAGGGCCAGCAGAGGCAGAATACCCAAAGGGGCGCGAGTAAAGTGCCTGGGGAGCTTGAACATTACAGAAGAGGGCTCAATTAATGTTCACTGGAGGTAAGTGGTTACTGGAGTTCCCATTTGGAGTTTGAAACATGAACATATTGAATCTTAATACACAACAACCAACGCCGCACCTAACACATTTCTTGATGTGGAGGAAAGAGTTGCTGGGAACAGTGCGATGGTTTCTACTCTTCGACAAATACCCAGCAGTGCGTTTCGCCGAGAAAAGGCACCTCTCTTTTGTCCAGTGTGTTTACTATACACTGCACGCTCTGCGCAGCCCTTATCAGCATGTTCGGGAACAAAGTACACACAACACACCCCTTTCGGAAAAGAAAGGCCCCGGACTGGAAGCGAGGGGTGCGATCTCGCAGCCCAACCACACAATAGGGGGCAGCGCCGTCGCCCGCACCCCGCCCCGCACCCCGCAGGCCGCACACAGCCCTGCGCTCGACCTCTCGGGGCCCGCTCGCCCCTCCCCTGCGGCTCCCGGGGCGCCGCCACCGCCCGGCTGGGCGCCCGCGCGCCCGCGCCCCCTCCCGCGGGGAGCCGGAAAACCCGGAGCCAGCGGCCCGGCCCGCCGGCGCATGCTCAGTGCGAGCGGGTCCAGCTCGCTAGTAGGAAGCTCCGGGTTGCACCGGCGGCGGCGGCACCTCGGGGCGGCCAGACCCCCGCGACGACCTCGGGCCCGCCCCTCCCCCGCTCGCCCCCGGCCCGGGCTCCGCTCCGCTCGGGGCCGCTCGCTTCCGGGGTCCTCGCCGCGCGGAGCGGGCGCCGCGGCCGGAGCGTCCCTCCCCGGCCCTCCCCCAGCCGCCGGCTCCGCCGCGGGGCCGGGCCGGGCCCCTGAGCGCAGCCCCGGCGGGCGGGCGGCGACCGCGGGCGGGGGCGGCGGGGCGGCGCGGCGCGGCGCGGCGGGCCGGGGAGGGGCCCGGCCCCGGGGCGGCGGTGCGGGATGCCGCCGCCTCCGGGCCGCGTCGGCTCTCCGCGGCGGGCGCCCGTGTCGGGTGGGTGGCCGGGCGCGGGCCTCGTCCCCCCGCCCCCTCTCCGGGGCTAGCCCGGCCGCGCGGCGCCCCGAGGGGGCCGGGCCGTCCGGCGGGGCCGCGGCCCCGATCCGCGCCGCGACTCGCCTTCCCGCGGCCCCCGGGCCCGGCCGCCGCCGCCCGCGCCGGGCCCCGAGGCGCCCGAGGGCACCATGCAGGCGCCGCCGCTGCCGTACGAGTTCTTCAGCGAGGAGAACGCGCCCAAGTGGCGGGGGCTGCTGGTGCCTGCCCTGAAAAAGGTGAGGAGCGCGCGGGACCCCGCTTTCCGGCGGTCACCCCGCGAGGGCGCCGCGCCGGGCCGGGCCGGGGAGGCGGGGCGCGCGCCGGGCGCTCTTTCTTCCCGGCCGCGCCGCGGCTCGGGAGGGCGCGGAGGGCTCCCCGCCGCGCGGCTCGGGGCCGACGTGCCCTCGGGGGCGAGGCCGGGGGGCCCCGGGGGGCTTGTCGGGATCATCCACCCGCGGGGCGGCTCGTTCCTGCCCCCGGAGCCGGGGCGAGGTCGGAGGAGGCGCGCCTGGCGGAGGTCGGAGCAGGCCACGGCGCGCCGCCCTCGGGCGCCCCGGGGCTCGGCGGCCGCGGGTCCTCGGCGCCCGGGAGCTCGTGCAGGGGCCCGGGCGGGCTCCGGCCGCCGCGCGGGCTCGAGTGACCGCAGGGCGCGCTCGCCCGCGGGAGCCCGGCCTGCTCTGTCCTCCTCGGGGATCGCTCTTTATTCCCGCGGATTCCCCCCGCGCCCCGGGGTGACTGGGGTGGAGGTACGTACCCCCGGGGGGGTTCAGATTTTTAGAGAGTCTGAGGATCCTGGTGCTGTCATTCTTTTTATTGATTTAGCATTTTTGACCTTTCTGTGTTTCTCGAATTTTGTCACATCGTTACGGACTGCACAAGCGCTGCTTGTAAGTGTTTTGGTGTCATTAGGGAATGTTGCTACTTTTAATGCAGAAGATACATTGTGACGTAATAAGTAACCAGTACTTTAGAAACTGGTGTGGTGGACTGCACCCCGAGAATTTTTTGTTTTCTTTTTACTTTTCAATATAGAGACTGTGTTCCTTAACAGGATTTCTACATCCCAGTTGCTTGGTGCGCCAAGAATTGCACGCTATCTGGTTAAAATATATTTTAACTCCTCCTGAGAGTTAAGATTATGGTGTACCTTTTGTTCCAAACGTTCATACTTTAAAAAATTATGTTATAAAGGTGTCTGATATTTCTCAGAGACCTGCAACTTTTACTTTCCCTTTTTGCCCTGGTTTTTTCCTCCCTCACTTAGCATCTTCCAGTAGAAACTGTTTGGTTAGAATTTATTTCTATCTTTCAGATATGTTACTTTGCCCATCAAGTGTCTGACTAGTCACAAACATCTTTGTGATACTGTTTTCTAAGAAAATTGAAGAGATCCCATATACCTTATATACTTTGTTCATTAGAAATCCTCTCAGACTCTCATTCTTTTTACTTTTACTTTACCCGCAAACTTGACAGTTTGTAATAAAAAGGGGGAGTAGGAGAGCTCAGTTATGCTAGAAGCAGGTATCCTGACCTAGTGGGTGTGGGGTGGAAAGGCAACAAAAAGCATGTTGAAAACACATACAGATGAACTTGTAAAACAGTATCACTTTTGGATTGTATTACTTAGGGTTATTGTTTACTTTAGGGTTATCTCCCCTAACCCCAGGGATAACCTATTAATTGAAGATCCTATGAAGTAAAGGAAAGAAGATGGTAGAGTTGGCAAACCAGGTCTAACCCCTCTTTGAAATCTGTCCATAGAAGCTTATTGTTGGGCTGTGACAGTGTTGTTTCATTTTTAATGTAACTAATTGCTTGTGTTTTTTAAAATTGAAGCTATTATTTTCCAACCTGAATTTTCAGTTTAAGAGATAGGAAGGTTTCTCAATATTGGGGATGGTAAGTTAAGCAAGGTAGTGAATTGCTAGAGCTGAATAAATGGCTGCCTTCTTTAGGCATGGTATGTATCTCTGATTTACCAGTCTCCACCAGTTCTCTTTGCTTATTTACATAAACCAACTTTGACTTTAAGCAGAGACACTCTTACATGACAGTAGAAATGATGGGAGGAGGTAGATGTATATACAATCTAGTCTATATGTAAAGTTCTTACAGTTCTCATTTAAAGTGCCCACTAATGATGATTCCAAGTTACTCAAGCAGGACTGAAAATGTGTTTCATATCTGTGTGTATCCTTAGTAGCTCAAACCCTACATTTTCACATGCCTGCTAGACATTTTATGTGGATACGTCCATATCTTGAACTCTTCCTTTAGGCTTACCGCATTATTTGCAGATGTGCCCAACTGCAGATGTCTTATCTTGTGTGATGCTCTTTGGACATGCTCTTCTCTTATGGGTTATCCTTTGTCTGGCCTTGTACCACTCATCCTTCTCAACCTCAGCTCTTTTCTCAAATCCTCAGGACTGAGTTGGATAATCTTTGTTTTCTTTTAGCAACTTACCCTAGCACTTAACAGTGAAGATACCATTTATTTGAATATCAGCCCTCACCCCACCTCTCCATTCTTGAAAACAGGAATAATATTTTACTCTCGTTTTAGTCTACAAAATACATTTTGAATGAGTGGGTGAAGAATACCCAAATTAAAACCATCATCTCCTGGAGCCTCTCTGGTGGCGCAAGGAGTTAAATCTTAGCACTGTGAAGCTATCGCCAGTCACTGCAGCATGAGTTCAGTCCCAACCAGGGAGTTAACCTACATGGTGCAGCAGCTCTCTCCTGCTCTCCTGCTGCTCCCCTCAGCAGTGTATTTCAGCCTGTTCTGCTCCCCCCTTTGTTGCTGGTGAATCCTCTCACCTCTGGCACCTTTGGTCTACACCCCAGTTCTCATATGCATAAATATACAAATCTTTAAAACAAACAAATCAACCATCATCTCCTCCTCCACCTACCATTGGAAAAAAAAATCCTCTTGATTAATGGTTTTATTATTTTATTGACTGATTCAAAGCTCTGGAGTCATTTCTGATTTCTGTCTGTATTACTGCCCATTCCTGGGCAGTCTGTAGTTTCATGACCCTTTGGCATGTTCTTTTAATCTGTCCTTGTCTATTTCAACTCAGAGTACTTTTTCCCAGGCTACTGTGATAACCTGAGTGTCACTGTCCCTCCCCTTTCCTTTATCTTTCACATTTCAGAAGTTAATCATGTTTTTCTGAATGTGTCATCCTCTTCTTGTTCAGAACTGTTGAGCTCTTTTGAGGACATAGGAGGAAGTGAGCAGTTTTAGCATGAATTATGGTGGTCAGTGATCAGGCTTCAACCTCCTTTTCTGACTGGATTGCCTACCATAATTTTCATATTCTTTATGCTTCAGCTAGACTGAACTGCTGCTTTTCCTGAACATGCCCAGATTGTCTCGCTGCATTTATCAGTCTAAGTCTTATCTTATTTATTGCGCAAACATATTATGCCTACTACAGACCATTGCCCTCAGCATCAAGGATGAAAAAGTAAATGACATCATATAGAAATAATGAAGTTAGAACATGATGGGAAGTATCAGGATGAGTATGGTGAAGTAATTGTTATAATAGAGAACTTTTTTATATGTTAAACTAAGGAGTTTCAATTTTATCTTGAGGGGATAGAAGTCATTGAGGAATTTTAAATAGGGGCGTAACATTAGGATTTAATTTTAGAAAATTCAAAGTAGAATGGAAAGGAATGAGATGCTAGGAAAGGAGAAAAGTTTTAAAGTTAATTTAGTAGTTCAGCTAGGAGATGGTATGTATTTGAATTAAAGGTGCATTTGAACTGGGATGGAAAATGTGAGAATGAATTTTGAGAGCTGTTTAAAAGGCAGAATTGATAAAATGTAGGAATTTCCTGAGTGAAGAAAGTGGTAAGAGTTGGAAGAGTCTTAAATTTTATTCAAATGGGGCCTCCCTGGTGGCGCAGGCGGTTGAGCCTTGCACTGTGAAGCTGTCCACAGCCTCTGCAGTGTGGGTTCTATCCTGGCCTGCTGGCGAATCTCACATGGCGCAGCAGACCTCTCCTGTCTTGCCTGCTGTTCCCCTCAGCAGTGTATTTTGTCAGTCTGCCTGTTCTGTTCTTTACTCTGTCTCTGGTGGATCCTCTCACCCTCCCGTGCATCTGGCCAGTACCCCGGTTCTTGTATAAGTAAATCTTTAAAAAAATTTTTTTATTCAACTGCCTGTAATCAGGATGATGGAGGATGTAAGAGGAGAAGCCATATAAAATGAATTTTGGACATGTTGATTTAAAAGTTATTTTGGATTATCTAGGTGGACTTGTTGAACTGGCATTTGTTTGTTGGAATCTGGCAAAGCCGATTTGGGATTTCTAGGTGTGTAAGTAAAGCTGTAAGAGTAGATGAAGTCTATGTACATTATACATGAATGCTCATGGCAGCTCTGTTCAGCAAAATTTGGAAACAGCCCAAATGTCCATCAACAAGTGAATGAATAAACAAAATTGTGATATTGTGATGAAAAACTATTTAGTAGTAAAAAGAAATGAAGTATCATTGATATGCATGACAATATGACTGAATCACAAAATTAAGCTGAATGAAAAAAGCCAGATCCGAAAAAGAACATATACTGAAAAATTCTATTTATTTAAAATTTTAGAAAATGCAGCTAATCTACAGTGACAAAAGCAGGTCAGTAGTTGGAGTTATTTGGGTTGGGGGTGGAGGGAGGGGTTATGCTCATTTGTCTTGATCGTGCTAATAGTTTCAGGAATAGATACATATGTCAAAATTTGTTAGGTTACACAGCTCATGTACAATTCATTTTATGTCAATTGTACCTCAATGAAGGCGTGAAAAAAGGTAGATAAAGTCACCCACTGAAAATGATGAAGTAAGACTGAAATAGGGCTGGCATCAGAACTGGGGGAAGAGAGTGGGCAAAAGTATGAAGGGGGAGAGCATGGGAAACAAATAATTAAAGGTGATTAAGAAGGAGTCAAGTAGAAAGAATAAGACCCTAGTGTCTGAGAAGCAGAGAAAGGAAGGCATTTCAAGAAAATTCATTAACTGTGCTAAACTACAGAAAAGTCAAAGAAGGTGTTTGAAAAGTGTTAGATTTGACAGCTAAAGGGTCACTTACGTCCAAGCAATTTCAATGTGAGGGTTGAAGATGGAAGAATATGGGAAAAGAATAGCAAGAGCTGGTGACTTCTTCAGATTATTTTTTCTAGAAGCTTGGAAATCAAGGGGGAAATGATAACTGCTGTGA